CATCCATCCACCCATCCACCCACCCACCCATCGATCCATCCATCCATCCATCCACCCATCCATCCATCCATCCATCCATCCATCCATCCATCCATCCATCCATCCATCCATCCATCCATTCCTCCCTCCCTCCCTCCCTGCAGCCAGCCAGGAGCTCCTGCTCCCGCCACAGCAGGTTTCTGCCCTTTTCTGGGATACCCAGAACCTTCCCAAGCACAAATGAGCCAAAACATTCCTGAACATGGTTCAGGGCTGATAAGGTCTCGTCCAAAGCAAATAAATGAGCCTGCCCACCATTACATATTCCATTAAGTATTAGGAAATAGTGCATTTTCACTCAGATAAAGGCAGCAGAGCCAGCCAGCACTGGGGGGGAGGGGGGCAAGCCAGCCTGGCTGTTTACTGCTGGCTTTAGCAGCTGCCTTTGCAGGGGTGGCCCTGGTGACCTAAAAGGTTGTTTCCACCTCTAAGTGCATTAATCCTGACATTTTCCCTTTTCCCTTTTTCATGGTTCCACTGCCAGATAAAATCAAAGCACGAGAGACAGCTCAACACAGGGCAGATACAATCTGTCTGGGCTGTTCAGGACCTGCTTTTCCTCTTGTCCCTAAATCACCTCACTTTATCAGAGGAATTCATCACCTGAACAAGTCCTGGTTTTGCACCCAGCCTGCCCCAAGTGTCACCTCCTGCCACTGGGGCTGCCACATTTCGGCCCTGCCCAGGTTAACTAATCCCTTCCTCCCTTTGAAGACTTAACATTAAATAACTAAAAACAATACATAAAAAGTCCAAAAATTCTCATGGGAAGAAGCCCAAGTCTTTCAAATTACATCCCCCCTGTAAGAACAAGGCCCCATAGTCCAGCTCATCTTTTCACAGGATCCACAAACAGCAGGAAAGAGCTGCCATTATCCGTGGAACAAAACATGCCCTGCAGCTGAGTGTGGAAAACTCTCCTGGCTGCAGAGCTGCAGGGCTGGGAGCACCCAGGGCACACCCACACAGCTCCCTGCTGCCCCTCAGCACCCCCACACTCTGCTTTCCACACACACTGTCCCTCCAGGGCAGCACAAACTCTTCCAGCTGTGCCCCTGCTGAGGGACAGACGCTCCTGCAAGATCCCAGCGGGAAGCTCAGCTCTTGCATGGACATGCAGCTCATCCCAACAGGCCAGGGTGCAAACACAGCCTCCCAAAACCCCCAAATCAGGGAGGTGGCAACAGGTATTTCCACAGGGACCTGGATTCCTGCAGTGCCCAGCCCTGCCACACACCCAGCCCACTCTTCCCACACCTGGAGCTCCAGGAAGACCCAGCACAGCTGTTACAGGCATGTTTTATGCTATGAATTTATGGGGTTTTTAGGGTTTTTTGAGGAGAGCTGGTCCAGAGACTGTCAGAGACCATGCCCAGGGCATGAGTATTCCCCAAATCTGGCCAAACAACCTGCTCTCCTGCTTGTGCCAGTCTGAGTCAGAGCCACCCTCACTCCCTCAGGACTGAAGGGAACCTCAAAGCAGGGATTAGCCCTCCCCAAAAAAGGCACCATGAAGGAGAAGGGAAACACGTCATGGATGGGCCCACAGACACATGTGGGGAACCACAGTTGTTTGCACTTTCACACTTCATGCTTTCATCCTGCCCCTGTTGGAAAGTCCCCACCACCAGCCCTCTCTGAGCTCCCACACACCTTCTCACCATGAGGTTCTTCCCTTTGGGCTCAGGGAGGGAAGATGACCCCACCCAAAAGCCCCAGGCTGTCCTAAAAACATGAGGGACCCCACTGAAGGGCTAAGGGCAAGGATCAGACAGTGCCAGAGAGACCTGCTCATCTGCTGGGTGCTCTGAGCAGCATTCCCAGCACGTGGATAACTTACCCCCAGTGGTGTTGTCCTCTTGATAGACAGGCCTCAGCAGCTGTAAGACACAACCCAGACAGGACACAGTCACCTGCAGCAGGACTGAGGGAGATTTACAACAACCAGCTGCAAATTTTAACGTGCCAAACCCAGCCAAGCCAAAGCCCTTCAGAGAGGGCAAAATCATTTTTGCCCCATTGCCAGCAGAAAATGAGATTTTTCACTGTGGTCTGTGCAGCAGAAACTCTCCCCATATCCTTCCCATACCCCAGGAGTGAGCCCTGAGAGGAGGCAGCAGGCTACATGGAATCATGGAATATGCTGAGCTGGAAGGAACCCACAGGGATCATCCAGTCCAACTCCTCACCCTACACAGGCCCATCCCCAAGGGTCACCCCCTGTGCCCCAGAGGATCATCCAAACCCTCCTGCAGCTCTGGCAGCCTTGGGGCTGTGCCCACTGCCCTGGGGAGCCTGTTCAGTGCCAACCACCCTCTGGGGGAAGAACCTTTCCCTGAGATCCACCCTGAGCCTGCCCTGACACAGCTTCAGCCATTCCCTGGGGGCTGTCCCTACTCACAGAGATTGGAGATGCCCCTCTGGCTCTGCCATCCCAGTGGGAAATGTTTCAGGAAAACAGTGAAAGCTCCACCAAGGGACACAGGAGTGGCTTGTAAAGCTGTCCCGTGCCCTTGCAAACACTCAGAGATGACACTGGCGGGACCAAAGCGGGGCCCAGAGAGGCCCCAGTGCCCACAGCCCCCCCCCTGCAGCCCTACCTGGCTGCCCGGGTTCAGGGGCGTCAGGATGATGTAGTTCTGGTCGGCGGCCGAGGGTACCCGGGACAGGGCTGGCAGGGTGTTCTGGCCCCTCTTGCCCAGCTCTGTGTACCTGTCCCAGCCGTTGAGCAGCAGCCCCTCGCTGCTGTCGTACAGGACGTGGCAGCTGCGGCGCTGCTCGCCCGGGGGGGGCCCCGCGCTGTTCTTCTCCCGCTTGTGCGGGGGGCACTGCAGGTCGTAGGCGGACTTGCAGGAGGACCTGCGGATCATCCCCTCGTGGCCTGCCTTCACCTGCGGGACCAGCCTCCACACCAGGAGGATGATCTCGCTGGGGCAGTTCCTGCAAGAGATGGGGCAGAGGGGAGTGAGGCACCCGCGTCACTCAGCCAGTCCTTCCTCCCTGTGCCTCCGCCCCTGGCCTGCACTCCCCAGCCCCTGCATCCTTTCCTCTGCTCCAGGGGATCCTTTCCCAGTGTCCTGCACCCCTCAGAGCCTTCCCCTTCCTGTAACCACTCAAAGCTCCCTCAAACCATGTCTCCCAGAGCCCCGCGCTGGTGTTTTGGGTGAACACTCACCGGATTTCGTGTGCCAGCTCCACACACTTCCAGTGCTCCACAGGCTGCTCGTTCAGCTGCAGCACCGTGTCCAGCTGCTGCAGACCTGCCTTCTCTGCTGGGCCACCTGGGAGAGACATACAAATGCCAGTCATCTGCTGGACAAGGAGCTGAGTTTGAGGGGGAGAAGCCCTGGGGCTTGGAGACATCTCACAGCTTGCACCACTCACTCCTCCAAAATCAATCTGTTGCTTTAACACCCACACCTGCAAATGAAGTGGGGCCAGGTAACCTGGAGCTTCACCTTCCAGCATCACACACACAGAGCACCAGGATAGAGCCACAAATGCTCTCCCAGAGCTATTGCAGGAACTTCCCATGTTTCCTGGGGTGCAGTGGGGAGCACCATGGTGCAATGGAGACACCAAGTCCATCCCACAGATCCACAGCAAGAGGATCTACTCCAGCAGCTCAGGGCCCCCACGACCCTGCTCCCTCTGTCTGACTCACTCCCAACTCAGATGCTTTCCATAGGTCTCCAAACCAGATGGACAGTTTTGAGGGTGGAGAGAGAAGGGAACAAAATCTCTGCAAATTACTGCAAAACTCTGTCAGAATAATGACAGTGTTAACCCAGGGGCCTCTGACCTCTTTAGAGGCAACAGAGAATTCATCAAGTGAAGTTTCTGGGAGGGAACCAGAGTCCTGCAAGGCATGGGAGCTTCAGAATCACCACATGCTCCAGGAAGCAAAGAAGGAGTGGAGTCATTCATTCAAACCAAGAGGGACAAACACGATCCGATCTCTTACCGGAGTCCACGGCCTGCACACGGACTGGGGAGTCACAGCAGATGGTGAAACCAAAGCCATCACTCCCTCGAGGGATCGTGATCTGCAGGGAGACACCAGAGCCAGGTAAGTGAGAGAGCAGCCTCCCATCACCCTCCCCCACTCTGCCCCACAGCCTCTGGGGACACAGGAACACGGCACTGCCACGGAGTGAGGAAGATCTAAAGCCATTGGAGAGTGTCCAAAGGAGGCAACGAGGATGGGGAAGGGCCTTGATTTGAAGGCGTGTGAGGACACTGAGGGCACTTGGTGTGTTCAGCTGCAGAAGAGGAGACTGAGGGGAGAGCTCAGTGCAGTTCCAACTGCCTGGGCAGGGGCAGAGGAGGGGCAGGACTGAGCTCTGCTCTGGGGGG